TGACAAATTACATATGCAATTTTGCGTTTCATATAGGAGTCACATAATCGGTTACGAACTACCTGCCGTTTTAGAGTGTCCGGTGGTATTTCATCACCGCTACTGAATTCTCTAGACCGAGCGTTTTCAAGCAACGTTTTATAGATGAGCTTATTTGGTTGGAAATGAAACGAAGGCTAAACGGTGCCTCATTTTTGTGAGAGTAATCGTTTAGGAGAGTGGAATCTTTTTTTGCCCTATCCCGTGGAGTTGCTACCGTTTCGTAGCCCTTAATCTCTTTCGGTGTACACATTGGTGGCTGTTCGAAACATGTTTCCCACAAGTGCTCGTTTTGTGGGTAAAGGGTTATAGAAGAGGTAATCACACTTCGTTTCGACGACGCTTTCAGATAGGTTAACTTGAGCGTTCAAGAATGGAAACCTATTTGCCCTCGGCCTCTTTCGGGTAAATTAACCGAACTTGCAGCCAATGCGAAACACAAAATTGTGTAATCTACTCTAACGGAAGAGACGATGATTGCTTGTGTTTGGGTGTGTATGCCTTGTAAAGCATGCGGGACGAGTGCATTAACGAAACAGGTAGGCCACTCTGCATCTCTGCAAGAGAGCACCTAATTAGAAGACTTAGTCAAAGAAAGTACTCCAGTAGGTACGCATAAGGAACAAAGGCACAACGGTGAAGATTTTTAAGTAAAACTCGGTGTGTTCGCAGAGAAATCTTAAGCATCTGCGCGTTCGGAAGTATTTTAAATAAATTCCGAAAAACCAAAAATAAACCCCCCCCCCCAAGGAGGAGCACCCTATGATAACTCGTCACCCCGCGCCACGTTTCAGCACGACTTTTTCTAACCTGTGCCAGACGCATTCCTGATTCATCTATGGCTCTGCACGGCCGAACTCCACTAAATAACGGGAAGACTCAAAAGAACAAAGTGCTGGTACTATTCTAAGCCTACATTCATTTAACCTCGCTATCGATGATTAATATACCTAACTTCACTTAAAGTTTCTGAGGAAGATTTTTCTGAAAATGGTAATAAATTCTGTAATATCAACCTCGTGCTTGCTTATTGAAGAAAAACGGTGAATTATCTACCAATCAATGCCGAGGTTAATAGAAAGTCGGTCTTGGGATGTGAATTAGTTCTCCAACTGACTTTCATTTAACCTCGGCATTAATAATCAGTACCTCTCTGAACTACTAAGCTAACATGAATAAAAAAAGGTTTATTCGTCTGTTTCGACGTCTTCCTCTTCCGAAACCAACGAAAAGAAGACGATGAAGTCGAAACTTCAGACGAATAAAGCTTTTTGTCAACCTCGTTTTGCCTTAATAATCTACGAAATAATGAATTGTTTAATCTATGTACAATGTACGAAACCCATGCATCTGGCAGGGCTCGCGTGGTGCAGTAGTCGGAGGCGCCCTGTAACACGTACGTGGAATCGTTCCCCATGCCCATGGCCCACCAAGCCTTCCACCACTCCGGTGTCGGCAAATTGGTACCAGACTTGTCTGGAAGGATAGCAGCACTGGCTCGATACATCGGTAGGCCACCGCGAGTTATTGTAAAGGCTAGATATGCATTCGATCACCTCCAAACGATGCCTAATGAAGTCGAATGCATGGCGCATCCCTCAGGGATTGATCAACGCCGAAGGCTTTATCCTTTTATCCTTTATGCATGTGGCATAATCAAGCGTTAATTCAGAACATAACCAATCTCACTAGCGAAGTCACTTGCATGATTTGGAAAGTGTTTTGAAACTAAAAATCTTTTCGAAGACCACATCGACTGAAATTGTTCCATTTCAACCAACTTGTCTTCTTTCTTTTCCAATTCTAACTGTATTTCCAACAATCAACAAAGCCCTTTGCGGGATTAACACATTTTCTGGGAAATCTACATTTCTGAACAACTAAGAGTGCGCGCTTTCATTAAGTATTTAACTGAAAGCAAATTTATGAAGCCAGAAGCGATCGCCATGACAACGCCACTAACACAATGCGAGGCTGAAATGTGAAATGGATTAGTCAAATAAATGGTGCCCATATCACCTCCACCCAGATTTCCTGAGAGAGACACTATCAGGGTCTCATCAAAATCCCCTGTTTCATGACATGAAGGCATCACTTTGACTAGATTAGCCGCCGCGAGTTCACATTTTCCCTAATGTCACTTATTTGAATTCCTAACAGCTCATTTCTGTTGTTCCTTCTATATTTGTCTTCTCTTCATATCACTCCATTTAGTGGAGCTATAGATCAATGCATTAAATTGACAATGTAATCACTTTATATTTACTGCCTATTCTTTTTTATGTCGGGATATTATGTATGGTACAACTACAATGATGCTGAGATATTTGCAAAACATCGGACCGCTGATGTCAATGGTCGGGAACAGGTTATTATCCTTTCCAAGGGCTAACCTGTTCACCACCAAACCATGTTTGCCCTTTGTTTCGTATTTCTCTCAGATGTGTTCTATGTGTGCTATCTGCTATAATATTTCACACCATACACTGCCATGAAAACAAAAGAATATGCAGTGAATAAAAATTGAACATTGTGATTTACACTAACTATACCTTCAGCTTAACCGGCTTCAATGCCATTTATGCGCCCCAGATCAATCTCGCTGACGGGTAACTGCTGATAGCACCTATGAAACAGTACTGAGAGAAAGGCAAATCTAGGTACCCGCATGCTGTGGTGATGAACCCGTTGAAAGGATAAAGGATAAAGTTTTCGGCGTTGTTCAATCCCTGAGAGACGTGTCGCGTATTCGACTTCATTAAGTATCGTTGGAAGTGACTGAATGCACATTTGGCCTTTACGGTGATTCGCGGTGGCCCACCGATGTGTCGAGCAAGTGCTGCTATCCTCCCAGACAAGTCTGGTATCAATTTGCCGACCTCGGAGGGATGGAACTCTTGGTGGGCCATGGCGCTGGGATCGATTCCACGTGTGTGTGCCGCAGTAGCACCTCTAACCATTGCGTCACACGCGCCCATGATGACCTCGTAAGCTTTAAGAAAGCATAACAGCGAGTTCGATCCCCACCATAGACCATAGCGTTTTAGAAATATCTCAGCTTCACTGTGGTTATATTTAGCATCATATTGGATCTAAAAGTCAACCTTGAATTAAACCACAAATGATTTTAGGAAAGAAAGCGGATTTCTTTACGCAATCTTGTTTTTTTTTCCAAATCCTCACTGACAGAGTACCCACCTACCTGGATATTTGGCTGGCCCGCTTCACTAGCTGTGTGGGACCAAGCCCAATTTTCATTTGATTGCTTAGCCACTGTGGTTGCCTGGAGTTCCGATATCAGCCTAACCGAAGCGTTCCTCAGGTCGTCATCACCTCAGGCAGTCGCGCTCTTGTGGGTGTGAGGGAAATTTGCCACCATGCGAGTATTTTGGCACGAGAATGGTGGTGAATAATGGTACTGGCTTGCTCTTAGTTAGGCTTCCTGATGGAAACGTTGGACTCCTTCTCAGCTTGGGAGACCCTACTGAGAGATTAATTTTCCCGCCGTACATCGCAGCCTGACACCAGAGAACACCTACCAACCACAATGAGGCGGCAAACTGCTCGGAGCCACTGGCAAAGTGACGAATTAAAAACAAGGTTAAAGCGTTCGTCTTTGGCGATATCTTGAGGAGGTCCCATGCATTTGACTTTGTATTGACCTGGCGCTTGTACCCTCCCAGACAGGTCCGGTAATAATTTGCCTACGCAGGAATTATGGAAGCTTTGGTTAATCTAGAGGAAAAGGTAGGTCCAACGACTACATGCATCGCAGCAGTACTTTTGTATTAAATGCTTAAACGTTTGGATTCTCCTCTTCGAAGCAGTGACCACCTCAGCACATTTTTTGAAGTTGAGGATTCTAATAACACTTCACATTCTTTCTGATCAAACACGAGGTGTTATTTTATATCTTTACTCCGATAACAAGTTTGTGGGAATTTTGATTGCACATAATCTCTAAATGGTCAAAAAGACCATATATATCTCTTATCAGATGCACAATTTGCTAAGTAGAAATTGATGATAGTAAGCTTTTTTTGCTTACGAACTGAGGACGTAAGCCGCAAAACCAGATGAAAGGTTCTTCTATAAAGCATTGAGATAGGTAACGGAAGGCATACAACAATCCTGCTACTTCGTAACGAATTTTTCCCTCCACGAATGGCAAAGGTGCGAAGTCATCCAATCGGCGTATGTCAGTCTTCGTAGTTTTTCCCTCTTGTCACATGGAATTTGAAGCGTGCTCAGGCCTGAATAACGACGTGAAGATCTCTTAATAACCCAAAAAAGGCGTAAAGATCAATGACGTATGACGCCGTTATGGTGTTGTAGCTGTAAAGCAACAAACAGTCTTCATCGCATGTCGCGAATATTGCTTGATCAGATTTCAATGACGTTCGCCGGCTACAAATTCGATCTGTTCTCACCGGTTGTTCGAATACCAGCCTTTGTCCATGGGAGTGCCTCGCGTAGGGAATGGTAAGTTTGGATTACTGATTGTCGAGCTGTTTATCACCGTCCTGGAGTATCGGAGTTGCTCTGCAAAGTGTTTGTAGGCCTTCACCACTAACAACTGTCGGCAATTGGGGATCCACGTGAATCTACCATCTTGCCACTAGTTTTCTACTAGAACGGTGGTGATTCTCATCATTGGCAGCTCAAAGCATTAGTAACTAGACTATGGATGAAAATGGCCAACTTTTTCTTAGCTTGGGATGATATTCTGGAGGAATGAGCTCCCCATTCTCCATCATATCCTCGAAAATACCACAGAGGCAACGAGGTGTTGAATAACAAAAAGGAAAAATCGAAAATTTTGCTAGATATTTCTATTCTGTAGATGTAATCATTAGCGTCAACCTTTTCATTGATTTTTTATCAAAGTCATATTTGTGCAAGAAATCTCAAAGGTTAACCAGAAGTCACTTTTTCTAACACATTCACTGATTTTTAGCGAAATGCTTCGTGCTTCGACGAATATCGACTATCCATACTTTCCGTTCCGAATTCCAGTTGACTATGTACTTGTGTCAAGAACGGATAACCTTAGCCGGCAATATCATAGAACGTTATTTGAAAAGGTGAAGTAAAAATAAATGCGAAAATTTCTCACTATTATGTCAGGAGGGCGCGTGTGGCGCAGTGGTCGGAGGCTCCCTACAACATCCACTTGGAATCGATCCCCGTGTGCACGGCTCACCGAGCCTTCCATCCCTACAGGGTCGGCAAATTGGTACCAGACTTGTCTGAGAGGATAGCAGCACTGACTCGATAGATTGGTAGGCCAGCGCGAGTCATTGTAAAGGCCAGATATGCATTCAATCACCTCCATATGATGCTTAGGAAAGTCGAATGCACGGAACATCCCTCAGGAACTGATCAACGCCGAGGGCTTTATCCTTTTAGCTTGATTATGCCAGAGATTTGAAAATTTTATCAGACTCACTTATAAAAAACTTGCATAGAGTCGTACTAAACATTGTACAAATAATGTATACATGTCGTAAGCACTCTTTTGACACTTAAACATAATCTTATATTCAGCAGATCAACAGCGAATACAAGAGTTGAAGAAGTAAGGTCTACTGTTTGCAGTTCAAATGAAGGAGTAGAACTAGTGCATGTACGGCAAAACTTCCTTACCAGCACGATAACGAACGTCGTTCAGGCGGCACAGAGGGAAGGTCTCATAGTAAATCACGAATTCGCCGGTCCTATCTGCTTCACCCTCATCAGCACTCCGTTTCATCGACTTTGTCGCGAAGCCGAAAAAATGCAAATGTCGTTTCCGCTGAAGGATGTAGGTCTCAAAAGTTGTGTGCTATGAAAATATGGTATTGAGGTTGCTTGAAAAGGAGGGCGTAGCAAAGTGAAGAACCACAAGCTAGTTCCTTTAGATTTAATGGGCTTCATGTTCACATGCAGATGCCACAATTGTGACCAAATCATCCAGTGATTTCAATTTTTCCATCTTTAGAAGAGAAAAAGTAGAACAAGAGTAAATTTCGTAGTTTCCTTGTGTGCGATGGGTCTCTGTTTTCCCGGGATATTCAGCGAACCGTATTAGATCTACAAGGGTTTCTTCTGATAGAAAAATTTTGCAGTTGCACTTATTCCATTGCATGGAATAAATGATAGTTAGGATTTACAGTGGAAATGATTCATTGCTGAAATCGGTGTTCTCCATGGTGTCGTATTTACTAGAGATAGTAAGGGTTACATATTTTTTAGCAAAAAACGGTAGACTGAAAGCGGTTCTCTCATTTTTCAGCAGAAAACGGTTTAAGTGGGGTTCAAAAAATTTTCGATGACCAAAGGGTTTCATATTAGTCAATATCACTTTTCTATAAAAAATCGTAAGCATGACGGTACCAAAGTATTCTTTAGTGTCCCGTGAATCCGTCATCTCCACCGTGCTGCCCTACGCTGTTCAATGCCTTCGTTACAGACGACACTGGTAAGTCACGTCAATCACGCATGTGTTTCTGTCACTTTTGTATTTTTCCTGTCCTTCTTTCTGTTCCATTTAAAAGAATAAAGTTTTTTTAACTAGAATACCTTGAATAAAAAAAACAAATAATAGTATAATATCAACGTATTCGCCATGGTCCAGATTTTTCAACAGCTGCCGATAGCTTTTCAGTAACTACGGTACCTTTGAAACACAACGGCTGCCAAGTCTTATGGAAAAGGTTTTGACTTGAGCTTACTCATTGGGCACATATAATGGTCTAAAACATTTTTATGTCAGATTTCGTATAAAAGTTACTAATCGTCAAAAACATTCACAGATCCAGACAAAATCGCGTTTATTGAAACAATTCTCTTTCTTTGATACGACTTTTTATGAGTGAAAATATGACGCTCTCCCTCCGTGTTCAGCTCTTTACTCCTCCACTTTTTTACCACGATCCTTTTAAGAATATTTTATTCATAGCTACTCGTCGTTCCTAGGATCACTGAATTTTGATCCCCTACTGGGACATTCACATTCCCAAATACAAGACGAGCGTCGTGGTTGTATGAATTGCCATATGAACTTCTCATAGTCAGTCGAAATCGCTTATTTTTCTAATGTCTCTCCCGACGTGTCCACACTCTGTAGACGGTTTGCTTGTCTTGCTTGGACTGGACTGTTTAACCACGTTCTGGCATGTTATGGCAGTCTTACTGACGTTGACTTATGCAGCCATAGGTTCTCAAAAGCGCAAGTGCACACTTACTTATGTGAAACTATTCCGAAAGCAATAACTCTTCTTCAATCTTTATCGATTTTTCCGGAGACTATTTTAATCGTTTTGATAATTAGTTTTCGAAAGTACTCAAGCTTTTCGGTGCGAGTACGAAGACGTTCGCTGGAAATAGGAGCAAAAAGTACGAAAATGTGGTGATGGTAATAAGGCATAATATTCTATGCAAAGAGCAGTTAGGACGTGGAAAGGAGAAAAATACATACAGTTGTTGTCATCTGTACCTGTATAACCTGTTCCACCATTCATCGTTGAGTGATTCGAACAATGAGAAGCAAAGCTTCTAGTTCTCCCTGCGCTATGCATGAGTGGAGTCCAGGGAGTCTAATTCGAGCACCATATTGACTTCTTAAGCTTACATGAGCAAGCTTGGAACATTTGCGGATTTTCGCCTCCTTAAACATCAACGCGCATTAGATGCGGACATATTCTAAATGAACCACGCTGTACGAAGGTTCAGCCAAGACCCATCTTTCCATAAACGCTGAGAAAATTTGGCCGCATTCGTTTCTCTTAGCTGATACATGATGCTATAAACGATAAAAAAGGATAAAGCTCTCAGCGTTGATCAATGAGGGATGCGCCATGCATTCGACTTCACTAAGCATCGCTGGTGATTGAATGCATATCTGGACTTTACAATGACTCGCGGCAGCCTTCCGATATGTCGAGCCAGTGCTGCTATCCTCCCAGTCAAGTCCGGCACTAATTTACCGACGCCGGAGCAATGGAAAGCTTGGTGGGCCATGGGCATGAGGATTGACTCCACGCTCCAACCACTGCACCACACGCGCTCTATGCATGATGCATCTACGAGGCAAAGATGGTGTCGACCTTAGGATCGCACTGCCATTTATCTGACATGAGTTTTCGCGTGGCTTTCTCACGAGGTCGATAAATAGACGTAAATAAACAAATAAAAACAAATTTTGCAAATAATCTTGGCGAAATGGCACTTTTTGTCTGCTCCTTCTCAACCTCGTGTTTTGCTTTAATGAAAAACGCTAATAGTTATAACATTCTAACAGGATAAGAATGCTCCTTTTAATCAAAAACAAGGCGGCGTTAAATGTGAGAGAAGGCGTTTTCAGTGAACTACATTAGCGCACCATTCAGTCGACGGAACTGTCAACTTTTCCTCAACTACGAGAACGAAAAGCTGTTCTTCACTTCAGCACAGCGTGACATGCTCACACATGAGGTCCGAGTTCATTTTTTGCTGCAAGATTAATTTAATTATCCATTGCTAATTCAATCTAATATTGGGAGTTCACCATTTTTACATGAGAGCTTTCCAATTTTTATTAAAAGTGCTATCAAAGGTTAGTGAATTTCACACAGTGTCTAAGTACGTTCAATCATCCACGGTAGGTCCCCGTTCTCAAAGTCGTTCTAAAAGACTTTTAAACAAATCTCCACGTGAGGACTCATTCCGTAATCCAAATATCGTCTCCATTTGCGAATGCAGATGATCGAACGAGAACCACAAATATGCACACCTAATTCTGAGGGAACCTTCAAGATACTCGCATCTCTGTCGACTTCGCTCCACACTTCTTTCTGTCCATCATTCACCAACTCTTCTCATTATATGTCAATCTATGTCTGACTATCGATATGTGACTTTCTGGATCCTAGAAAAGGGATATGTTTCGAAGGTTTGAATTCCGCATTCCTGCTAGACGTTCGAGTACCGGCTACATTTCAAAAGACATTGTTCCAACGCTAGCTTGGTGCGTAAAATTCTTGACGTAGTTGAAGCACCAGTTCTCTAACAATCTCTGTTGCAATCTCTAGCAATCTCTGTTGCATAACTGTGTTGGGAGGACTACTGAGGCGAAAATATGAGGGCAGGGTATTGGGTCCGCTAAGAGGTCGGCAGTTTCTTTGAGAGGCCAGAATGCGGCCCACGCTACTACCTAATTCCTCGCTCACGCTATTCTCCATGTTCGCTGAGTGTCCAAAGGACATGCACGAGGTGCTCTCTGCAATCATAAAACCATTCTGTCAATTTGCTCATCTTCGCACCACTGGCTTTTCATGAGCTGGGTCTTCGTCCTATCTATACGCAGCTTAATTTCTCTTCCCAGCTCGATGGGCGCATTGAGAATAATCTTTTCTTCATAGGCACTTCTCCAAAAACGACAGTGCCGTGAAAGAAACAGAATTTTGTAGGAATTTACCACTAATGGTTATGCCCTTCTCGTTCAACTTCAATAAATTTGCTGGTATTGTGGTATGGTAGAAAATAGCTAATGTGAGATCGTGTTGCTTTTTCTTGTGAGGATGGAAAGAGAAAAGTGGAAAAAGTGTGTTTCTATGTTAATGTTGCTACAACATTTAACTGGAGTTCTTATGCAGGATTAGTTCTTCCTTTAGTCAAAAAACATTGGAAGGATTGCATTCGTTTCGATGCTACCTAGCCCTTTTTCATAACCAAGAAAGAATAGGACAAAGCAAAGGTTCTATCAGCGACAGATCTTTACAACTTTACACGCTGTTTGGATGTGGTCCATGTAGCAGAACTGGTGTCGGAACCCTGTTTCCTCAACTGGCTGTGCCTCATCCAAAGTCGTTGATAATAATCTTTGTGAAGAAACGAAAAGATAGGGGAGCTCAAAAAGCTACCAAGCATATGATGATGAAGAATAAACAATCTTCTCCGTACCCACCTTTTCATTTCTGCGATTCCTCCTGTTCTAACGAGATCTTCGAAAACCTAACACGATGTAAGCAGGATATTAAGTCTCTAATTTCTACCGAACACGCTATGGAAAAGGTATTACTAGGGAAAAGGTATTTCGTAACGCACAAATGAGCGAGAGAATTCAAGGCACCGCTCTACACTGTCGATCGAAAAGTCGCCGTCGTGTGGAGCATTCAGGAAGAAGTGGAAACTTTGCTTTTTCGCCGTTGATTCACTCAACTGTTGGTCAATCCCTAACGGATGCGCCTCGCATTCGACTTCTTTAAGCACCATTGGAGGCGATTGAATGCATATCTGGCCTTAACAATGACTCGCGGTGGCCGATCGATGTATCGAGCCGGTGCTGCTAACATCTCAGACAAGTTTGGTACCAATTTGCCGACCGCGGAGGGATGTGTAGCTTGGTGGGCGTAGAACGACAGGATCAATCCTGTGTATTGCAAGGCGCCTCAGACCACTGCGCTAGTCGCGCCCTTTAACAGATAAAATACATGACAATAATATTAATAGCAGTAATAGTGCAAATGGTAATGTTGCCAATAATAATAGCAATAATAATAAAAATAATAACAATGAACATTGATAAATAACGTTTTATAACAGCAAGTAAAACTAACAAAAATAGTAGTAACAGCATTCTTTTTTACTAATGATGGTAATGCTACCACAATAATGCTGAGATATAACGAAATCTCGTACCGCAGGTGAGCTCCGGGTCGGCGATTACGCTTTCCGGGTGTTCACTTGTTATGTACAGCGCCACTGAGGCCATTGCTTTGCTCGTACCTCAGTCAGTTTTTTAGCATAACAGTGCTATCAGCAAGTACCCGTCCACGAGAATAATCTGGGAAAGACAAATCGGCATAAAACCTAGTTAAGTTGAAGATGCAATCAAAATCACAATGTATAACTTTTATTTACGCCCTAATATTCTTTTGCTTTGCTCATATCTCTGCCTCATTGTGGTTGTATTTAACATAATACCCTGCCATGAAGACAAAATATTATTAATAGACAATTAGCTAAACAATAGTACTACTGTCTATGTTCGAAAAGCGAAATATAACCACATGCAGGAAATATGTGGCAATCTTCCAAGCCCTTTACAGATCCTAACACAACTCGACATCAGGCGAGAACTGAAGGAACAGAATCACAATGTGTCAGTCGTTGGTGATGAGTCGCAGCAATCGGTGATAGCTGACGAGCCACTGAGGAGAAAAGGTCTACAGTACCTTCGGATGAAAAACAGCTATGAGGACTCCTTTATTCTGCACGAACCCAGCCAGGTAGTCATGCCTCGCTTGCAAACTTTCTCTCACTCTTTTTCATTCTTTTCATGACATTCACTCATTCTTCATTCCCATTTCTTTTCATTCTCAAGAATGTACACGAATAAAGAAGCAGGTCGGAGCAGACGTTGAGGACGAAGCAATCTTCCGTGGTCCTAATTCGGTGCATTAGAATTGCTATGAAAAGAAAAATGTTATTTGTCTTCACGCACTTTTTTTATTAAGTCGATGGATAACCTATTTCTTATAATAACTTACTTGTTAAACTCAGAACCAGTGTGACTATTCAACATTTTGCCAGCGAAACCTAAACGAGTAATCATTGCAGTTTAAAAAGAAGTTTTGGCCGACGTTATACGGACCACTACAATTACAGCACTACAAAAATATCTTTCTAATTTTCAAGTTTTTTTGGGGTGATACTATTATTGGAAAGAAACTATTCAGGAGGAACCGTACTTCAAAAAGATGAAGGATAACTCATCGATCACTTACATGGAACTCATAACCGAGATCGAAACGGATCCTCGCAAAAAACTGAGCAACCTTTGGAGCAGGTATTCATTAAACATGCCGTTATTCACAGGCTCGTCCCAATTTTTTTAGTTCATTATATAGCAATTTTATTGGAAATGTAGCGTTTTCGCGCTAAATTATAAAGCTCTTTGAAGTGTGCCATCAGTTCTGAGTTGCCTTCTATGTGGTACAACCGCATGTTTAATCCTGGAGAAGGATTAGAATACCAAAAAATAGACGTGTATGTCTCAAATTCATCAGGACGATGTGCCAAGTCTTAGTCAGTAGCAACGTCGGTGACGTCACATCACACTAATTTACACTCCTAATACTATTAATAATTCCCACAACCGATTTTCTATTAACCTCGGCATTGATCAAATAGTTCTCGATATTCTTATTGCGCAAACAAGAGGTGTTACATTATTCTTTATTCCGTTAAAGCTGACGTTTCAGCAGCGTCGCTTTCTTCAGAGCCGTTTATTATATGGCTTCCACTGAGGAAGAACTTCTTCTAATAGGAATATCGAAAACTATTAATAATCACAACGTTGCTGAGATATTTGCAAAACTCTGGAATTAGCTGGGTTCTATGCCGATTTGCGCTCCCCAGATCAGCCCCGCTGACGGGTGATTGCTGTGGCAAAAAGATCGATAGAAATAGCTGAGAGACGTGCGAAACAAAGGACCCGCATGGTGTGGTGGTGAACGCGTTACTCCCCGGAAAGGATANTAGCGCGTTCGTTCCCCACCATAGACACCTGCGGTCCAGAGTTTTGCAAATATCTCAGCAACGTTGTGGTTGTATTTCGCTTAGTAACCTGCCATGAAAATTATAGAAGGCAGAAAACAAAACGTTAAACACTATTAATAATGTTAACCTTTTATTTACTGCCTATTATAAATTTTCACGGCAGGGTATGTGGTACAACCACAATGCTGCTGAGGTGTTTGCAGAACTCCGGACAGCAGGTGCCTGTGGTGAGGAACGAACGCGATATTACCCTTTCTTGGGGCTAAAGCGTTCACCACCACACCATGCGTTCCATTAATAATCTCAGCTTGCGTTTCAATTCCAAACAACTTCAATCATCTTGAAATCTCCACAGCATTAGGACAAACAACCGTTACTAGTGATAAAGCATTACACCTATTCTTCCTACTCTTTTGCTTCTTTAAGTTCAATTCGTTCGTCTAGGATTTTGTCTTTTAGACGTCAGTTCTGAAATCTCGAAAGTACGACTAGGCAAATTTCACCTATTTTTATCTTAGAGACACACTTTTAATTTACTTACCAAGATCCATTTTAGCAAAACAAAACGTTAAATTGCGAATGCACTTTTTCCATCTCTATTTGTGTCATACGTTGCACTAGAACCACTCAGATTTTTTCGTTTCCAACCACTGGGTCTGGTCCGGGAATACTTTGGCGAGCAGATCGCATTCTATTTCGCCTGGCAGGGCACATTCCTCACGATGCTCTGGCCAGCGACCGTCCTCGGATTAGCCGTATTCGTTTTCGGTTTCGTTAAGAGGTATGTTAACTCATTACCCATACTGAAAGTATTGATATTCCCGTCATGTTTTTTGCAGCGTCCGTCTAAATCCGGCCACGTTCGGAAACTGCACCGTAGTCAACTATGCCGGCGAATCGTTTATCGTATCGTGTACATTTCGCAACAAGTTAGTTTTTGAAATTATTTACAAATCTGCGATAGGAAGTATTTTAAACACCTTCCAGAAATATTTTAAAAATATCCTGAAAATGTAATGCGACGCGTTTTAATCTGATAGGTTAAATGTTCTCAAAGGTTCTGCTTGACGAGTATGGAAGACATTTTCTAGCATCCTGGAGTCCTGAGGTCAGCCTAGCCAAATTTTGCCCCAGGTCGTAACCACCACAGGTCCTTGTAGATCAGAAGGAGATTTGCCATCATGCTAGTTTAGACTAGTTTGATAGTATGATGGTGGTGGATCCAAGTATTAGTTTACTCGTAGCTGGGCTTCCTGATGAGAAATCCAGACTCCTTCTTAGCTTGAAAGACCCTGTTGGGTGATGAATCCACCCGCTGCACATCGCAGTCTACTCCCAGGAACACCTCCCAACCACGATGTGGCGGTAGACCGTTGGGAGGAGTTTAATGACAAAGACAATTTCGCGTAGTAGTACTCAGGATCGACTTTCTATTAACCCTGGTACTGGATTATGAATTCGTCGTTTTCTCTCGCAATAATCGCGAGGTTGTTAAACAGCATACGTTTACTTCCATACAATAACACACATACAACACAATCGTAGCTGACGTTTCGGCAGAATCGCCTTCTTCAGAGCCTGGAAGGGTACAGTAATACACAACTTACAGGATCAAACGCTTCAACAGCACAAACAGAAGGATGAAAATAATAATTACAAGATCTACGGCTTCGCGAAAAAACCCACCGCTTTTCTCACTTATCTTCACTGAGGAACAACAGCCGCTCAGAGTACATATGGTTGACGACTGCACCTCCCCACATCAACGATCGATGCGAAGGTACAGGGCCGGATTACGCGTGGTCTCGGGGCATTCCTGCCTGCTATTCATTGTAGGGCTTTTGGCATTCATCCAAAAAGCCTCGAGGAGACTTTGATATAAAAGTCGCAATGCTTGCAGGGATCCTAAAACACAAATGCGCAAACTACTCGAGGTTTTTTGGATAAATGCCAAAATTCTACAATGAATAGCAGGGAGGAATGCCCCGAGATCACGCGTGATCTCGCCCCTTCCTTCGTATCGACCGTTGATGTGAGGAGGTGCAGTCGTCAACCATATGCAGCTCTGAGCGGCTGTTCTTCCTCGGTGGAAGACAGGTGAAAAAAGCGATGGGTTTTTTTCGAGAAGCCGTAGATCTTGTAATTCTCGTGCAGATTTTCATCTTTCTGTTTGTGCTGTTGAAGCGTTTCACATAGTAAGGTGCGTATTAGTGTATCCTTCCAGGCTCTGAAGAAGACGATTTTGCCAAAACGCCAGCTACGGTTGTGTTGTATGTGTGCTATCGTATGAAAGATAATTTCTTCGTCTCGCAATCCAGACGGTGCGAAAAATCATGACCAAACGCATTTTTGATGTAATCAATATGGAGTGAACGAACTATTCCAGCTTGGATACACACAGCAATCCAATTTTACAAACTGTTCATTGCTGAGTTTGGAGACTACGTAAGAGGGACGAATAGGTCTACAGCTATGAGAAAGTATAGATTTCGAAAGGCGTTGGCCTATCTTCAGTTTTTAGGTAATGTAACACATAATGGACGACGAAAGAAAGGAGAGGTTAGGACACTTAGTGATCATCAGAAGAAAAACTAAAAAAGAATGTACAGGTCAGGCAAAAAAGAGGAATTGACGAAAATGTGGTGCCACTTAGTCCAATAATCTCCACCAATTCACCCCACACAAGAGGCACAAATATGGATTGAAATTATGTAGTTGTGCACGAAAATTGGGTGAGTAAGTAAAATAATAGAGCATGTGGATAAAGACGAACCGAGAGTAAAAAAGTGTGGCTAAGCACATGGTGATGACGTCCATGGAGAATTTATTGGGTCGGCAAAACGTATGCTCATCGACGATTGGTATACGAAGGTCTCCTTGCCTGAGAGACCACTCAAAGGAATAACGATCTGACTCCGAAACAGGTTACCCAGCGGAAGCTGAAGAAAGTAAAGAGTTCAACAAATACGATAACCGCAGCAGAATAGGACTCCAACTGGTAAAATAAGCTGAACATTATCATGATATTCACGACAGAATAGCTTAAATCACTCTTCGTCAAGCCATCAATACTGCAGAAAGTGCATCGGATTTCGACAAATGTGTTCAGAATTTACGCTTATTTCGGTTCGATCAAGTGGTTCGATTCCTTTCACCTTCACTTCTTCATTGTCTAGAAGAGACTCTATTATTTAAAGAAAAGTAGAGGTGATGTGTGTTGGAGATTGCAAAGCACTCTTAATATATCAGTAACCCATATAAGCTGTAAAAGATGTTAAGAATGTTAGCACTACACACAGCCAAAGTGACAAACATTGTCGTTTAGAATGGTTCAATAATATCCCAAAATAGTGCGAACTGTACCACGCGCTAACCAACTGCGCCAATGGAGCACGTTCTTTCGTCGTTTTTAGTTCAAATTAAACTGTACATCGCAAACAAAGACTTTGAATTGTGAAGCTTGCAGAATTGTACTGGTAATGCGTGAGTAGTGTACACTGCCGAAGTGATGGATCATAAGGACTTTAGATAGTGCATAAAAGTGCTAATTAGTTAACTATTATAAAATTATTAGTTATTAATTACATTAATTATACTAATTATAAAACCATAGACTGTACGACAAATGCTTTCAACTGTAAGTTTTCCAGTATCATTGAAATATTCCAAGGAATAATAGATTTCGAGAACGTTCCAACATTAATACCAGTGCGTCCATTTAACGCTGCTTTGCATATGCATTGATAAGAATGCATATGTTACCCGAAGAACCACGGACTATTCGAAGAATTGAGCAAAGAAATGAATGAATAACTGTCGATCGAAAAAAAAGGCATCTCACAAACGAAATGGAAAAGATTTTTGTCTAATTGGAGTAAACCACCACTTCATTGCTTACTAAGTCTTGTTCAGAATAATATAGCAATAACAGGTTACCATCTTAACCCTTTTATTTACTGCCTTTTTCTTCTTAATGGCAGGGTATGTTGCGAAATATAATTCGTATGAAATGCTGAGATATTTGCAAAACTCCGGACCACAGGTGTATGCAGTGGGAAACGAACACGCGCTGTTGTCCTTACCAGGGATCAGCGCACTTTACCGCTACACCATCCGGGTCCTTCGTTTTGCCTGTCTCTCAGCTACTTCCATCGATCTTTTTGCCATCAGCAATCACCCGTCAGCGGGATTGATCTGGGGAGCCCAAATCGGCATTGAACCCAGTTAAGCTGAGGCTTAGTTATAATCACAATCTTAATATAATAATCAATATAAATATATAATCACAATAATCAAAAAAAAAGATCGATAGAACTAGCTGAGAGACAGGCAACACGATGGACCCGGATGGTGTAGTGGTGAAGTGCGCTGCTCTCCGGTAAGGACAACAGCGTGTGTTCGTTCCCCACTGCATACACCTGTGGTCCGGAGTTTTGCAAATATCTCAGCATCATTGAAAGAAAACACTTCCGTTGTGTTTCAGACTGGCACAATTTTTCACCACAGTGTCGTCGTGGTTCACGAACTCGTTCGACAATGAGCTCAATGCCTTCTTCGCAGCCTTCATGTCTATATGGGGTATCACACATAGTAGTAGAAAACATCATTTGTTATAATCACAGTGTTTTAACTTTTATTTACTGCCTTATTCTTTTTTCTTTATTGAGGGTATTACATGAAACACAACCGCAAGTATGCTGAGATATGAGCAATACACGGAACCACAGGTTCACTTCGAACCAGCGATTACCCTTTCCAGGGGCTCAAGTGTTACCCAGTGCACTACTGAGGCTCTTGCTTTACCTTTCTTTCAGCCAGTATTTTACCCTAACAATGCCGTCACGATCCATCGTCAACGAGAATAAGCTGAGATGCACAAATTAGCATTGAACACAATTAAGCTGGAGCTGGCTTTTCCATCGCGAAGTCTAGCTAAGGGTAAACCAGTATCAGAATCGACGACCGTCCTGGCATCAGACTAGTCGCATGGTAGCAAATCTCCCTCTGATCCACAGCGGCTACGACTGTCTGTTGTGGTGACGATCTGGAGCAGAATTTGGCTAAGCTGAGCTCGGTACTCCAGGGAAGCGCAATAGTTAAACCAGCAAAACTCTGAAAAATGGAGATAATGCTGGAGCCCGCACAATCGGTGAGGGAGGGCAGCCCAAGTATCCAAGTACGTAAGTAAGCCGGAGTTTCAGTCGATATCACAGTGTTAACCATTATTTGTTGCATATTAATTTTTTATGGCGGGAGTTATGTGGAACAAAACATGAAAGAAATGCACAGCAGAGGGCATGGTTCTTGCAGTTGATGGCACGCGAGCTGCTAGAAATGGTAATCGCAGGCTCGAAGAGCAACTGAGATTCCGCGTATTACTCATGCCTTAGCATCCTTGCGGATTATAACAATGTCATAAACGGTTTATCAGCATATACTAGAGTATGCATAAAATTCGGGTAAGTACTCGGCTTCTTATCCCTTAAAAAAACAAAATCTTGCCTACTTGGCAGCCGAAAAAGAGATGTGGACGAAATTCCATCAAGATGATGAATTTGATTCAGAATTGTTTTATACCACAGAAATTTTCACATGGAATAACTGGGACGATTTAGGCACATTTTTTTGCCAAATATGGCGCAGAAACAATACTGTACTCGCCTACGAATGGGACTGTGAAGATTTCAACGAAGTGGAGCCAGATCGTCCTGAATATCGAGGCAGCGCCACGAGAATCGTAAGCGATACAAGATTAGACCACTTCATTGGCATTTTTAAATCGTAAAAACATCTACAATTGAACATTTTTACACTATACTAGATTGTACTCTGTGTCTGTGGAAGTCTCCACAACCACATACCTAGCACGCTTAAAAAGTTTCATCAAATTTTCAAGATATCGTAGTGGGTGACACGTGAGACCTTGGAAGTAGTCGGGAGTACGAATCTGGCCTGGGTTTTGAAAGAAATAATGGACAACAGATAAGAAATTGTACATTGTGAGCCAAGACATTGTTGTGTGTGTCGAACATTTCCGAAGGATAGTAAGACAAAAGTGTCAACGAGTTGTGTAGGAGACTAAAATCCTTAGAACATAAGTGACTGTTCAGCTGACTTCCTCATGTTTATGTATTTCATTGGCTTATTTGGAAAACATCCGAACTATTGTGTTGTTCCACCCAAAAACGAGAAGAAACAAAAGAGACTACTAGCACAAGTAGGGCTAGTACGCTTTTTCTTCTTCAGGATCCTACGAGGACTGAGCCGGAGTGCTTCAGTCCAGATTTTCTGCGCTTTCTTAAGCTCGCCGTCTCATGTATTGTTGTTATTCTAAGCATGTGCTTGGTGATAATCAGTGTGCTCCTTGTCACTCTATACAAGCTATGGGCAGTTTCTAGTCAAGCTTGCAACAAAGAGGTGAATAGTTGATGTTTACGTCAACAATTTCTGGTCATAACCTCGATGATTATGGATTGAAATGAGGTTTTATAGACTTCTTGACGCAGGTGAAGAACAATACAATTTTGTCTTGCCTTTACGTCTTCAACAATCTATTCATTAGTCTTTTCTAAATTCTCGCTTAAGATGAAACTTTATACAAATTGTAAAAGGACGTTCTAAATTTTTACTTAGTAGTCGTTGGAAAGTTCATCAAATAAAACCAGTTTCAGTATACGTTGATGTGCTCCGTGATGGTCGCGTATTTGCCTTCAATCATGAATACCGTTTCGACAATGTTTCTAGGCAACATCTATGAGTGCATTGTGACGAAACTCACTTATTGGGGTTAGCTAAACCTTTAATGCCATTAGATCGGTTTTTATTTGACACGTTTCCATTACCAGTTATAATGATTCCTCAATGACCTCTAAATGACATAGCCTCAAGCATAAGGCTATTTTCAAACATTCACCACGTATGAATCATATGAGGGAATCATAGGTGCGCTTTCAACTTGAAACTCACATACATATCAAACCTCATCTCAAAACAGCCTTTATTACTTTCATTGGTTGGATAAATTGATAGACGAGATCCAGAAATACGTCTGTTTACCTCATAAGTGGTCACCCAAGGAGACGCTTGTATAATGCAGTCCACTTCACTACACTTCCTATCCATTTCTTGTGAGCTCTTGTTATATGACCGATCCGTCTCTATTTCGTTTTCGATATGCATTATAGTGGAATTCGGTAGGACAGTTTCGATGGTTCCTTCATGTCGTTCTCTCTATTGAACGCCCAAAGTACACGTACGAGTCTTTATTATCAGTGAACCCCTCGATTGATTTACCTTCGCATTTATCAGGATAGGTTGCTCATTGACTGGTTTTTTTGTGATTCAAGGGCAGCCCGTTTTTTTACTACCAACATTGTTCCTGCTTCACTGGCACTTCTCGAAGGGATGGCGACCTTGTCATCAAAACGAACATTTGATAGGGATTTTCTATGAATGTGTGTGCTCCTCTCGTCTCAGTCGAACGACTTCATTATGCACTGCGGTGCAAATATAAACACCTTTAGTGAAACAGTACCCCTTCTCGAATCCTTGTTCCTACACGGAAGGCAAGGATTCAATGGGAAAGCTGTATTTTGTTGCCTCACTCAAAGAATAACTGTCAGAGTTCATTTATAAGACAAATCCACCCCTTGATCAACGACCGCTGGCAGGATCGCATTTGTTTTGACGCCGTCTTTCCATTGTCGATAAAGGTTTGGACAAGGGACAAATGTTACCCACGACAGACTTCTTTTAACGTGCAACAAGGTTTGGATGTAGTCCATGCAGCAGAATCCATGACGGAATACTGTTTGCTCCACTGATTGCACCTCATCCAAAGTTGATGACATGCGCCATAGGATAATCTTCAAGAAAAGATGTAGAGTATACCCATTGAGAACAATTACAAAGATCTTTTCGGTCGCATTTGTTGCGCAGGATGATTGTACAGGAGACCCTCCATTGTTTCTAGGGTCGTTTGATTTCGGAAACAGGTTTCCATATCAGTTACGAGAAGTTTATCTAGTTTGTGGACTTCAGCTCGAAGGATGTAGACTGTCGCATTTTCTGTTCCTGGAGCCGTCCCTCTCTTCATGCTTTCGATAGCAACTCGAACTTCAGAGAACAGAAATAGAGTTTTTTCTTATGATGAGTTTATGGTCGGATACAGCGATTTTGAAACGGAAAAGAATAATACAGAACTTGCCCGTAATCATTTCCGTGTATTGGAAGGAGGTAGAAGTGATCGTATCTTCGTTCATCAAACTTTATTATTTGAAATACAAATCAATTGCATTTGCACATCTTTGCTAACCACATACAACTGTCCTTATTCAATCAAGATGAGATACTAAATTTCTGTGGTCCATGAACCGCATTTTTCCGTTGAGCCTGATATTTCATCTCAAAAAGTGAAGCCATTAAACAAGCAGTATTTCGTCCAGCGCGACACTACGGTGCTTTCAAATAAGTTCGATCGATCTTAGAACTAGCTGAGAGACATGCAAGACGAAGGACCCGTATGGTGTAGTGGTGAAGTGCGCTACTCCCCGGTAAGGACAACAGCGCGTGTTCGTTCCCCACTGCATACAATTGCGGTCTGGCGTTTTGCAAATATCTCAGCATTTCATATGAGTTATATTTCGCAACATACCCTGCCATTAAGAAGAAAAAGGCAGTAAATAAAAAGGGTTTAGATTGTGATTATATCCCTGGTGTTTTCGGGTTGTCGCGCTTGCATAAATTTCGTTTCATACGTTCAACAACTTCAGTAGTAAGAAAAATAGAATTGAAACGTTAGTTTGTAAAATATCAAACACATATAAAGAGATAGAGCAAGGTTTCCTCTACACGTTTGCAAGGTTACCAACCTCTAAACCACTCTAATGAGCAGGAAACTGTCAGCAGTTAGCGAAAACCCAGTCTGGTCGTGAATTTGTTAACAATAGTTTCGTATATAAACTTGTACTCCAAATTATTAGACAAAAAGGCAATGTTACTTCCTAAAGTAATATTTTGACGACATACTGGACCGAACATTTACGATGAGACATGATTCAAACAGTACAACGCCTGCAATGTTTTACTGAGCAGTTGCGCAGAAAACCGTTTAGAGAATCATCGAACGAACTCAGAACACCATAATGCCTTTGTCATCAAGATATTCGCCCTGCAACTCGTCAACAACTACACTTCTCTCTTCTATGTCGCTTTCATTCGTCCGGAGAACAATGTGATTGTTCCCTCTACAGTTTTAATGTTACAAAATCGATGTCCACAATCTTTCCAACCACGATTTAGGGTTTCCAAACCAAAGGACTTTTCGGACTAGGAGAAAATTACAAGGATGCTTGTTTACCGGGCACATGCGGCTCACTGCTTGCCATTCAACTCATTTCACATATGATCATCAAGCCATTACCGAAGTTCACAAAGGATATAGTTATACCGTAGGTTCAGAAGTTTGGTTTTTTTGATGATACTGAGCAACGAAAAAGGCACCGATAAAAACATTCTCTCTTAGTAAAAGAAAATACACGAATTACTTCCGCCATAGGGGTAAGCTGATAGGATAACGGCTAAACAACAAAGGTGCCGCAGAAGAAAACCTGAGCTTCTACTTGTTGTTCAGCTATTCTAAATTTGATTATCCTTTAGAACAAGTGAGATATTTTGCTTTTGAATAGGTTTGGTCACTGTTCATTTTATTTTCCACAAAAAATTGAATACGGTAAGACCCTATGCACACTTCGATACTAGACCAGGCTTCAATCTATCGATTCTATCTATGAAATCTATTGATTTTCAAAAATATCCAATCAATGAACACGCCTGGAAGGACAGATGGTTTACCAGAGAATTTTAAATATTCCGGAAACACTTTAATATGATTAGATGTGAAGTAGGGAATATGATCAGATCCACACAGAAAGCTGAACAGAGCACTCGGTTCATTTACTACTAAGCTATGAATCGTATATTCTACGTGGTTGCTTTACTTCAAACAATTTCAGATTTTTCGTACGGATCTGCCGACTGAGAAAATGGTACAAAAGACAGCGTAATATTTCGCACGAAACACTGAACGAGAACGAAATGAACGTACTGCTGAGAGAATGGATGAAACCGAACGCCGGTGACTTCACACTTAGCGAATTCAACGAGAAAATCATCCTTTTCGGCACCACTATGGTATGTGCAATCATTCAGAAAAATCTATATGCACAACCCAGCATGTGCGTGGGAATGATAATGAAATTTATTCCCAGCAAAGGTCCTAAAATGAGGAAGAGCTCAACGTTTGCACACAGAAAATCAGCAAAGAGTAACCCAATGCCAAGAATCACTGCCGCCCTGGTTCGCATGGTCGTAAATTTCACTCACACCTACAACAGCCAGCAACTGAATGTGTAGTTAGGAGTTAGGAAAGCCGTCCCACAGCTTGGTGGTCTTCAGGGAAAGAGAATCTTGCGCAAACTGCAAATCCTTACTCAAATGGGAAATGTGCTGCAGCTCAAGTGGTTCATTGCTAAAGCAGGCCATTAAATTATTTGAGTCTTTACCAAACGAAATTAATAAAGTGGAGTTAGAGGATAGATGGAGGCAATGAATTAAATAGTTTAGATGTCTTGTTCAAATTAAATCAGCCACACAGCGCTAGGTGCTGTTGGAATACTTAAGAGATGCAATAAATCATCTTTTGAAACAGTGATGATTATTTTTTATTAAAAGGACAGTAGACTTCAATAGCACAGCAGGCCTATGTCATGCAATTAGAACCACATTCCAGTTACCCAGGTGTAAAAAGTGTAGAAATACGTTATGACGACGAACGATTCCTGGTAATCGAACCATGGAAAAATAACCCTGTAAAAAACTAGCGTCCACAGTTAAGTGATAATAAGCCTCGAAAAGTATTGTATTTCCTTGAATGTTACATATGATGACTACTTAATGTAATAAAGAAAAGGATAAACGTCTCGGCGTTGATTAATCCCTTAGAGATGTGCCATGCATTTGACTTTTTTAAGCATCGTTAGAGGGGATTGAATGCATATCTGGCCCTTACAGACTTGCGATGGCCTATCAATGTATCAAGCCAGTGCTGTTATCCTCCCAAATAAGTCTGGTACCAATTTGCCTACTTCGGAGAGATAGAGGGTCTGGTGAGCCTGGGGCTCGGGGATCGATCCCATGTATTGCATCGCGCCTCCGACCACTGCGGCGCTACACGGGCCCCTACGACTGCTTAATATATGGTGCTTAAATATCCCTTGCCAAAGAATAGTACAGGTTCCAGCTTATTGTAACATATTCCCCGTTAACTAGTATGTTACTGGCTTGATAAGATCTTTCCACTAAATCGCAGCTAAAACCAGTGCCAGACTGTCCTCAAATCGTCACCACAAACACTATTCGGAACTTGTCGGCTACGGCAGGATAGATGGCTATACTTCGAGAAGAATTAATTGTTCCAATATTGTGGCTAATCCTGACGTCGTTTTCTACCTGAGTTAACATGGGAGATACTGATACTCTACCCCATAGCTGGATACTCACAAAAGAACCCTCCACGACGCCATGCTAAGACGTTGTGAATGCGACGATTTATTTCTAGCGAGAATATGGTCATTGTTTGAAACCAACATTTTATACATTTTACATCCTACATTTTACTAAGTGCTCTACATTTTATATTTCTTAGTGGAAACCTCTCTTTCGTGAGTTAGATGGGCCGGCCTACCCCACATTTAATCCCTGCTGCAGTTATGAACTTCTTCAAGATATTGGGTATCGTCTCTCGACGGGTGGCTAACACGACAATCATTGATAATGCACCATTTTGTGCATAACAGTTATTTGGCCAACGCTGGTACATGGTGCGATGTCCAGTTTTTGTAGACGGCTAAAGTTCATTTCTTCTTTTTACTGAAAGTACGATACATTCGGCCTATGGTAAACGTTTTGTGACTGTGTGACCTGAACTGTATAGCATCTTGTCAGTGAACGTTTACAGTGACGACAAACATGTAATTAATAGGTATTGATTCAATGTAGCAGTTCGAAACGTGTAGTCCATTCTGACTATAATCGTCACTGAAGTCGTTTACACTCATGGCCAAAAATGAACGACTACTTTGGGGTAGACCTCAGAAAATCCGTTCTGTACTTCAGATGTTTGCCGCATTATTTCCTCTGGCTCCACTAATCGCTCTAGTGATCGGCTTCATAGATCTTCGTGTTGACGCGTTTCGACTGTTGTGGATTAACCGACGGCCAGTACCTGTGATGGCAAACGGTTTGTCCTCAGAATCCTTCCAAATGCAGATCGAGCAGCAAAGAAATCCGACAAAAATCAACAGAATCTTCGCTCAGAGAACAGATTCTTTATTACATTCAGTTGTTCATAAAGTCTTATTTGCCATGGTTGTGGAATATAAGATCAATAAGTAAAAAATTTGACATCTTTTTAGGCATCGGGATATGGTTGTCGATCCTCTACTTTCTTCAGTATGCGGCGGTTATGACGAATGCTTTTATAAGTAAGCCAAGAATAATATAAAGTTAGACTTGGATGGATAAGTTTATGGCAGTTTGACTTTCTAATACATAATCATTTAAGCAGCCTAAATGCTAAAATCCAAACAAGTGCAGCGTTTTAAGTTCGATAAGCCCTACACGAATCATCCGCGCCAAATAGCTCAAGTACTGACAACTTTCTGAGCTTTCAAAATAATTACGGTGACCTAAGACCTTTAGAGTTAAAAGGAAGGAAATATACGTCATTCAGTCGCATTCACATCAGACTTCTGCTCAAACTTCTTCAGTGATGTGATGTACTGCGATGTCAAGAATCGATTTCTCATCGTTATAGTATTCCAGGTGAAGTCATTTCAAATTATTTGTATATAAAAAAGGAAATCAAGCCCCTACAAAAAGTAACCGCGTGTGAAATAGCACCACTGAATTCACTTTTCGGTGCATCCTAAAAAAAAAACCTGCGAATCATACGTGGCTCAAGGGGCGAGTAGGGTAGAGGTGCCGTACAAAACACGCATAGTCGTTGACTCGACTCCACAGCGGGTTCGCCAAGTTCTCTAACCTCTCGAGGTCGGCAACTTGATACTATATTTGGTTCTTAAAGCTCTCTCCGACCCACAAACTCCGACGACTGTCTCTGTGGTAGGAGACTGAAGACGATCTATTAGAGGTATCCCTGGATTCCACGACGAATCAACTCGATTAACATTCAACGATACCGATTAAGAAAAGAAAACCCTCAAGTGGCAGTCGAACGTACACGCAGGTCCGAAACTCTTCTGGATGACGGCTATGAAACGACGAACGGAATAAGAGAAGAGCTGAGATCCATTAAATGTGTGCAGTCAGATCATATGAATAATCATGTGGAGCCGCAGTGGTCCGAGACGCCCTGCAACACACACGTGGAATCGAACCCCACGCCCATGGTCCACCAAGCCTACCCACCCCACGGAGTCGGCAAATTGGTGCCAGACTTGTCTGGGAGGATAGCAGCACTGGCTCAATACATCGGTAGGCCACAGCGAGTCATTGTAAAGGGCAGACATGCATTTAATCACCTCCAAACGATGCTTAATGAAGTCGAATGCATGGCGCATCCCTCAGGGATTGATCAACGCCGAGAGCTTCATCCTTTATCCTTTTATATGCACTATAGTAACGCCAATTTCAGGCATCTAAATGGTTTTTTTTTATCATGAATGATGTTTTAGATAAGTCAGTGGTCTTCATAGTTGTAAAGGTTCAGTAGTTCTTGAGTCGTATGAACACTTCTTGGGACGTTTCCAAGACAGCAGGTTTTATAAAGTCTTGTACTCGAAGGCGAGTAAAAAAGTGGTGGTAATAAGCGTATAGAGGAAGAAGAGAGAGAAAAAGAGAAAAAGGAAGAAAGTGGAAGGAAGGAAAAGAGGTAAACAAACGAGTTAGTGAGACATACAAAACCCTTTGTTGCAGAATATGGTATTCATTCTGAAATACGTCCTTCAAAGCATAATTCCGACCGTCCCATCATCCATACGAGTCGCTCAACGAAGAGTAAGCGAACTTTAATAGACATCTTATACATGAACAAATCATCATCAATTTCAGAAACGTTATGTTGTTAACTACGTCATCGAGAAAGGAGATGTACCTTATAAAATTCGAAACAGGTAAAAAAGCTAGTTGGATAGAAAGTTGATCGGAAAGAAAAGCGAAATAGAAAAGAAGATTCCTATCAGCGAAGTTAGCCGCCCTTCGATAAATCTAAAATACTCGGAGACACAGTGATAGACAGGCTTCTTGAAGAGGCTTCCCATTATCATTGTTAGGGCAAACACGGCTCTTCCAAGGTTTTTTGCCTTAAAACTTTTTAAATACCAAATTTTCAAAGAGGAATCGAACTCAAATGTTTGCGCGAGCACTACAATTCCACACTGTTAACGACTCAATTGAAGACATCGTAGAGTAACTAGGCTAACGCTCCGATGAAGAGGAACCATTCGTGAGCTCCAAAAATTGACATTTCGCCATGAAATTGTACCTTCTAGCAAAAACACACGGATTCTAATGGTTCTCATGCTTGAGATGGTTTATAGAACTCAATATCGGCAGTGAAGCATATGCTTAAAATACGAACGCTAAGTGATTTTCGGTTATGCATGAGTTGCAGTCAACTCATACCGTCTATTGCATGCTGAGTTACATCTCTAATCATCGTGGTGATTATCCACAAGTAATGCCGGTAGTTCCTATACGACCGCACTAACACATGCCAGCATTGACCGAATAAAGGAGGTATACCGGCTAGCTAGGGTGAAACATAACGATGCGACATTCCACCCAAACCTTCTACTTCTCTTCAGAATCTTCTGCTTCAACAGTTATTAATAGAATCCTTCAGACGACGTGCACGTAATGCAAAGCTAGCATGGATAATGTCTCATAAGAAAGGAAGCAAATCACCCAAACTGATCTCCAGAGTCGACGTCGAAACTGCCAACATCTCTTCATCTTAGTGCATACTTGTTTCATATACTTAAACAATGGCTCTCGTTAAAACATCACTCCAATAAATCTGCCATCTTTGGATATCCAGGGATTTCATGAAGAGACACTTCAAATAGTTTTTACCAACCCCTCGCTGATGATCAGGGACAAGTGCACGTATTCTTAGAACGCGCTGAACCCTGAAAACAGAAACGGTAGCAAATCGACGAAATATTTACTTCATTCCAATGTTCTAAACAAAGATGAACTAAATACCGTACCACCATAATCACCGGCTACAGCAGAGAATTAATGAAAACACGCCAAAACAACACACAACACTGAATTGAACCTGTGAGTGGAAAGAATCATATCGAAACCAATATTGATACCAATCAGTAACAAAGAAATTATCACGACCAATTATGAACGAAAAACATGTAGTACCCACGTCACATCTACTACCAAAGTAACAAAACAATCTCCGAGCAAATGTGATCTGCATGACAGAATTCCCAATACAAGCCAAAAAACTACACATTTAGAAGACCACAATGTGAAGTACCGTGTCTGAATGAACAGCATTTCTCATCATGAGGTTAAGGCGACAGTAATTTCAACTGAACAGCTACCCGATGACAACGTTGGGAATTTGGCATCAAATGAAAACCGAAGCCATGAAGAAGACCATGGTTATATGAAGGTCAAGAACGACACAATACAGCTTAGCATGTACACAGAAGCAAACCAATTTTGTGGCCGGCAATCTGAGATGAATGAAGTTATATGTATAAATGAACTGATAAACTATTCTACAAATATATGCTGAGGAACCGTCTATAGGACTAATTATAAAAGGCCATATTAACACACCACAATGAAGACTACAAATGCGAATCACAATTGGTTAAAAAACCGTATATACCAGCGACCAATATCAATCCCGAGACTATGACACTTTGAGGACGGATATTGATTCACTTTTGATAATATGGAAAAAACACCTGCATCAAAATGTTCACATCACATACTAAATACAGTGCCAGATAATCTAGCGAAAAAAATTTGTATGTTACAAAGGAAAACTACAAAAATCTGTACATTTCAATACCACAACGAGAACTATACAGCTGCAGCACGTTTCGCTACCGGAGGAGGTGGGCGAGCTTTTTCCCGTTCGTATTCAGCACGAAGCCAGGCGATACCGGTCAGCATGTATGCACACATTTTCTCCAAAGGAGCATCAAGGAATAGTTGACCGCACACTTTTTCCAATCTGAATCCGAAATCTTCCACAACCAAACAAATTTGCACCACAATATAATCCCTTTTGTTCCTTGACAATTACGGAGGGTCACAATCAAAATAAGCTCAACACTTCCTGCTATATCCCTATTAAGAAGGCAGATCAAGTTATATATGTACATAAATCTATATATGTATATATATATATATATGTACATGTACCTACATATATCCATATATAGATATATATGCATACGCCTATATACATACATATATGCACATCCATACATGTAAGTATATATGTATATACTTATTTGGATACTTGCATGACCCGCCTTCACTGGTTATGCGGGCTCCAGCATAATCTCCATTCTTTCGGAGATTTGCTGGTTTAGCCACTGTAGTTCCCTGGAATCAAGAGGTCAGCCTGGTCAAAGTCTGCCGCAGGTCGTCACCACCACAGGCAGTCACAGCCCATGTGGATCAGAGAAGGATTTGTCGCCATACCAGTAATTTGATACTAGAACGGTGGTGGATCTTGGAGACTTTGCTAAGGGGATAAATCCCCCCGTTGTACATCGTAGCCCAACACCCAGGAACACCTCATAGCCACGATGAGGCGGTAAGTCGTTAAACGGGTATAAGGATAAAGGATAAAGGTAGTGGGGTGCGTGTGGCGTAGTGGTCGGAGGCATCCTGCAACACGCACATGGAATCGATCCCCGCGCCCATGGCCCACTAAGCCTTCCTTTCCTCCGGGGTCGGTAAATTAGTGCCAGCTTGCCTGAGAGGATAGCAGCACTGGCTCGATACATCGGTAGGCCACCGCGAGTCATTGTAAAGTCCAGATATGCATTCAATCACCTCCAACGATGCTCAGTGAAGTCGAATGCATGGCGCATCCCTCAGGGATGATCAACACCGAAAGCTTTATCCTATCCTTTATCCTTTACATGCATGTTGTCTTAGTGAAAAAAAGAAGAACACATTCAAAATTGTTATCGAAAAAATAAAAACATGTAGCGTACCCTGCAATAAAAGCAAGGTCTGTGTTGCTAACGTCAGCACGTTTAGCAGCATCCTGCCATACACGATGGGACCACATTAAATGATGTAAGGTTTTCAGTTGTTGCCTTTGTAAATCATACACCTTGCTGGGCATAGTAACCTGAAATAACCAGAACAATGGCTGCTACATAAACGAAAATAGAGTTCATATTTAGTGAAGACCTTTCACCTTTAATGCCACTTCATTCAAGAAAAGAAATTGTTCACATACAAGAAACAGTATGTGAAACGAGTGATCGGAATTCAAGCAACTCACAACGGTGGTAGATAGGTTCGAATTCGAATGAACACTGCTACCAGGAGATGTGTTATTAACAGCTGACCCATTCTGCTGCTGTTGTTCTTCTTGGATTTGGGCGTCCATTTGAGCAAGCATGTTGTATGACTTTATCGCATTCTGAAAAGATGTGAAGAAATAAAATAAATAAATAAAATGCAACTAAGAATTGGTTCATCAGAACTGGAAACTATGCATTACGCACCTACGCTACTCAACCACACAACATCACTATAAAACAACTAACACGAAGATTGAGAGTTAACTTCCAAGACATTCATATTTTCATGGTCTGACCTTCACCATCTAAGTTTTTGCTTTCATTTCCACCACTTGAAAAAAGAACTACCTGAGATCTAAGATTGTAGAGATGATACAACAGAGTGGATTGACAGCGCAAACTGAGATTCCTTACACGAGATAACATGTGTAAGTGCCATGGCGAACATCCTTCTGATGGAGGCGAAAATGCATGGGTTACCCTTCTGAATGGAAAATGTGGAATGAAAACACACAAGGTCAAAAATATTAAGAGAATGTCACTACTAAATCACAACGGCAAGATATCTACGATACATATATTCGAGGTGTTATATATGAGCTGATCGATTTCGTAATATGAGAAATTCAGGCGTCTTCTAATACTCATTTTTCGAGCCCAGAATAGTAACATTGACTGGATCCATTTGTCGAGCTTACTCGTTTTCCCGAATTCCGTTTCAATATAACTTCACTTTGAACAGTTTCCCAAAAGTTATTTGTAAGTACTCGACTTAAATTCGTCCAATGACAAATGTGCTTAAAAAAGGCACTATATTACTGGATAAAGAAGCTAATGCAACGTTGGGTCCGCTTCACCACTCATTTCAAAAAACACTCGAAATTCGCATCGATGGAATCTGATAACATACGTTGAAACCAAAGGAAGCGTATACCAGAAGAAAGATCAATTGAGTTCTGAAGTGATGGTAGTATTTACAGTAACACTTAAGAACTGCCATGACTAAAAAATACCTGCAACTTCCACATTACAAAATCGAACATACCATACTGATCTGAACATTGCTACAAAACTTGCAAAGGGAATAAATTCAACCAGAGCTGGGGCCGGGAGGTGGGTACCGCGCCAGGAAATCGTCCAAAAATGAGTTTTAAGTCAGAAAAACGCAAAAAACGGTTGCCCACTTGAAGTGGACGAGTTGTCCGTCATGAAGCTATAAAACACCTCCGAATACGATTTTCGCGCGGTTTTCACTATTACCAGCCAGCTGTCAACTAGTTACGTACGCCCCCGGGAGCCCACGCCGGATACTGTAGCCGCGCACGAGTTGGCCGTTGCAACCCCAAAAATCCACACAGAGCCAAGCTTCAAAAAGACAGATGCTCACCTATGTTACTACGTATGAAGAATCATGGAATCAAAATGTGTAACAGCTGTTATATAAAAACAGCTGATACTCTATGTGAAAAAGCCAACTTGAGAAGGTCGTTGGTGTCCCGGATGATCGAGTACTGGCGGTTTCCCCGAATCTCTGGTGAGTCTGACGAGACGTGCTTCGCCGATAAGATAAAATAAACTGCCGTATCAAGGTAAAACAAAACTTTGTTCACCTTGTCAGTCTGAAAACGCTAAGATGATGGTTTCGGCTACAGAAAATGTTTCTAAGATTTTCTGAAATACCCACTTCAACGTCTCCTTTACGTTTTTGAGACTTCGCAACCGACTGGTAGAAGTCGTACAACATTTCTGTGCTGTCCTCTTTAGGTTTCACGGGCCGCGCAGGCTTCGTTGGGGCAGATTCCGCTGCAGCACATTCGAAGCTGATTCGTGAAGGATGACTTCCCATAGTAGATGAAGAACGAAAATGAGTTTGATCATTTCCATCGTGCGATTGTGAGCTGGACGCATGAGGCATGCACTAGAACACACCCTCAATAAAAACAATGAGAAATAATGGATTGATTTTTTGTGAAGAAATTCTAAAAGTTAGTCTCCACTGAACCAATCAAAAAAGTAGCCTAAAGATGCATTCTGAATAAGCTGCGTGGAGAACAGATGCCTTAAAATTTCCTACAATTCTCATAAAAACGATCTAATGCACAATAAGGTGTTCTCAGACATTAAACACAGAACCCTCCCAACGGCTTACCGCTTCATCATGGCTTGTAGGTGTTCCTGGGTGTCGGGCTGCGATGTACAGCGGGGAATTCATCTCCTCGAAGGGTCTCACAAGCTGAGAAGGAGTCCGGCGTTTCCATCAGGAAGTCCAGTTAAGAGTAAACCAATACCAAGATCCACCACCGTCCTGGTATTAAAGTCGCATGGTGGCAAATCTCCCTCTGATCCACAAGGGCTGCGACTGCTAGTGGTGGTGAGGCCCTAAGGCAGACTTTGGCCTGGCCGACCTACCTCGGGACTCCAGCGAACCACTAAGGCTAAACCTGCAAAACTCCGAAAAAATGAAGATTACGCTGGAGTTCGTACAACCAGTGAGGAAGGGCTACCCAAGTATCTAAGCAAACAAAGCACGTGCACAATTAATAGCAAAATCGATTCTACAAAGCTCGTTGACACTTTTTCTAAATTCACAAACATCAGTTCAAATAAATAACAGCAAACTTGCTTTTAAATTTAAAAAAAAATGTAAAAAAAAACATATTCGGTGTCTCCACTCACCGGACTACTTCTCGCACTTGATTCCTTCTCCCTACGATGAACATCTAAATCCTCCGCATCGCATTTACTACTAGACCATTTCTCCCGCTCCTTCTTCTCTTTACGTCTTTCAACAACGCCTTCCGTCTTCTCTTTTCCATCCTCTTTGCGCTCCTCCTAGAAATTTAACTTAAGATCAGCTACCAGCGATAAACAAACTCCATCACGCCATCTGCAACCTTGGTACGACCCATCTTCCTTCCGATTTCAATCAGCTGGCTCAATCTTGATCGATCCAAACCTTTAAGGATAATTTCGCCATCCAGACGTGATACCTAAATAAGTGCAAGCAACTTAGCACATGAGTTACATGCGAGCAAAAAAGAATGAAAAAAGGAAGCAAAGTAACTAATATCACTTAAATTTGCCGTCATAAATATTACCAAATATTATTATATCATAGTTGCAATGTAATACCAATTTATAGAAATGTGCTCTCTTAATAAAAAAAAAACTTCTGTAGGGAGACAGGCATCATACTGAATGCCAAAAAAGTTAAACATCGAAGAAAACGCAAGTAACTAACTCTATCACCAAGACTACCACCGCTTTCTTTCAGTTTCATACGTTCCCCATTCCCATTCTTGACCTTCTGATCTCTTTCGTGTCCATCCCCTCGCTCCGATTCTCTCGATTTCTTTTCTCCGCAGGACGGTTCAACTACTCGTTGCTTCCTCACCTCTCGCTCTTTTTCTCTTCGTAATTGTTGCTCGTATTCTTTCTGTTCTCTGGGCTTTTGTTCAACTTCCCGTTCTCGTTTGATTGTGTATAAACGCTCCTTTTCTTTTCTATCTTTGTCCTTGTGCTTTTTGTCCTCCTGGTCTCTGTCTCGGTGGTCCTTTTCCTCGCGTTCTCTGTCCCTACGAAGTTTCTCCTCACGATCTCTTTCTTTCTCTTCGTACTCCATTCGTTCACTTCTCAACCTTTCATCGCGTTCTGCTTGCTCCTTTTCCAGACGTTCTCGTCCTTCTTCTTCCCTCATTTCATGTTCATAATGCTCCTAAACAATGCGAAAATTAGTGATGAATTTAAAGCGCTTCTGAAACAAACAAACTCAAAAACGTCGACGAGTAAGTAACTGATTCCTATCGTTCGCTAACCTTTCGTTGTCGCTCTTTTATCTCTATTTCTTTCCGCTCTCTCTCGACTTTTTTGTCAGACGGGCGTTTCTTGATAGGTGACAGAGGTGGAGACAATCTAGAAATAAGAATTGTTAACCCCACAATAAATTTCACGAGAACATTTGTCTATAAATTTCCAAAGGACATACTTTGTTATTATGTTAATAATCGTTTGCGCAGAATGGATATCGCTGTCGTCACCTGGATCGTTTTCTGCAGAATGGACACCAGAATCTGGACTGATACCTTTATCCAGTAGTTCCTAAAATTAAAGAGAATTATGACCGTTGCGTATGTAAAAGTCACTGCTAACCTTTCTCTCTGCACCATCCCTGAACGCCGTTCGATGACCATCGGAATTGGATAAGGGATGGGTATTGGAACGACTGGTGCCAGGTATTCCAGGAAGCTTAAATGATTAACATGTATCACATTGTAAAAATCCTAGAAAATTTGTCAAAATATGCCAATACAATGAGCATATATATATACAAATATATACACATGCATATAGATATACATACATGTATCTAAAGCATATATATATATATACATGTAGACACTATATGTATATGTATATATGTCATATATGTGATTTGATATGAAAAGAATATAATTTGTATGTTAAACAACTCGATATTTATTTCAGAAATTTGAACATGGGGGCTGTAACGGTCAATACTAACGGGCCTTTCAGGGCACCACCGTGAAATGCTGGATGAAATATGGCCGTAATGAAAGAAAAAACCACTGCTGATCTTAAATGTCGAATACTTAACGATAAGAGAGCTATTATCTTAATCAAATAGGTCTTCACCAGGACGACATCATACGTGCATCTAGGAGGATAAGTGGGCATGGAAAACGACATGATTGCAAGATTTCGCGGCAGATCTCTCACAGCTGAGATGGAAGTTAACAACACGTCTCGTAAACAATTTTACGCGTTTTTAACAGTATGCTTGGACAATTATAGAAAATATGCGCTACACTGAGGAGTAGTGGTTAAGAAGGATAAAGGATAAAGCTCTCGGCGTTAATCAATCCCTGAGGGATGCACCATGCATTCGAATTCATTAAGCACCGTTGGAGACGATTGAATGCATATCTGGCATTTACAATGACTTGCGGTGGCCTACCGATGTATCGAGCCAGTGCTGCTATCCTCCGAGACAAGTCTGGTACCAATTTGTCGAGCGGGGATCCACCCCATGTGTTTGTTGCAGGGGGCCTCCGAGCACTTCGCCACATACGCCCCGAGTAGTGGTTAGACCCTCGGAAACTACGCTGTCTTCTAGATCAATAGGAATACATACCAATATGGAAACATGCATGATGATTATGTTATGAAAGAAGTCCAAGAGTTGATGACAGATGGATGAGAACAACAGTGATGTGGATTTCAAGACGATACAAAAACCGGTTAAGATAACAACCTAGAAGTTATGCGGAAATGTTTATGGCCCACATTAATCAATTGCGAAACGGTCTGTTACCCTAAAGACTCGTAATGATGGACCGTTCAAGCATAAGCGTAAATCTTAGTAATATAATACCCATATATGTGTCATACACAACTTCTACATTTTCGTCAATAAGCTAGGACTAGTCGAGCGGTTATAAGCTCAATATTAACAAGTAAAATCAGAACAACCTAAATTTAAGAAAACTAAAGTTGGATACACTTGAATGAGAAATGCATAAAGCTTTACATCCTCGTCTCGACGTTTTCTTTTATCTCTTTCAACTTCTGTGTCGCTGTCTAGCAATCTATGCCGTTTACCCTTGACTGAATTGCTACTTGCTTCAGGGGCGCTATGCGTCGAAGAAGAAGCTTCGGAGGTAAGACAGTCCTGAAAATACAAGCGGCTTCCAGACTTTCACAGCCGGAAAGGCGAATTAAATGAAAAATACCTGATTAAACGAGAATGACAACCCTTGAATAGGTCGAATAGGCGAGGTCACAAGATTTTGCATGCTCTGAAACAAGGGAAAATGTAGAGAACGACAAGGGAAAAGTCGTGTGGAATCAACTCCACAGATGTTCTTCTGAATTGCTGCTTACTGCAGACTACTATCGAACGGGCACTCTCGTTACCATTTAAAGATCAAGTTCTCAGACAAATCCTTTAAATGTCAAGCACACCCAGATACGACTTTCCAAGAATAAAACAATCCCGATGTTCATAACAAGAAATGTACGTTCTCTTCCTAGTGACAGCAACTAAGAAAGCAAACAATTCTTGCCATATCAGTACTTAGCAAACTGCAAAATTTGAGGGTCTATAGAATCGTGGTCACAATGAAAACAAAAAACTTGGGTGATCTCAACAACTTTTGTCCAACTTGCTGCTTTAACTATTCTTGTTCGGCTGGTGTTTCGACAGAGAATAGAACTTGAAATGATTGAGAGAAAACAGAAATGGATACTCAAACAGCTGATGAATAGATCGTCCAACAATGAATACAAACATTTTAAAGAAATCATTTAAAGACAGTCGCTTTATTCTCGCTGTAAGGCATTTCAGATGCTCGTGGTTAAACAGACAGATATTAGGCCCGTGAGTAAGCAAGGGGTTCAAGCTCTCCACGATTACCTGCAAGAGCTGCTGCGTGGAATGCTGGGTAGTGGTCACAGAGGTTTGCCCTGAAGTCGGCATAACAGATTGCGTCGATAGCTCGGCTGATGTCGTTGGAATCTGTCATCGAAATCCGTTATATACGGAAGTCTCGACCGCACTCGTTTGTATATCAGCCTTGTTTGCTACATGATTCTGGTCAACTGACAAGTTAGCTGATATCTACTCTAACCTGTAGGAAGACACATTCAAATCACCGGATCTACTACGGAGATACTCGACCTACTCACCTGTACGACGCCATGACGCATAATACCGCTTGATCCAGCACTTGCTGTACCGGCAACGTATTCGCAAAACTGTTCGAACGGTCCGAAAACCTCTGAAAGACAAAATTCGTGTCGGATCAAATCACAACTGTTTTCAGTAGATAAATTCAGAACTTCCTATAGCTGCGCAGAATTTCTGGTAAAGATGGTAAAGAAAGACAGTAAAGGGGAAATGAGGATTCTCAGTGTCAACGACAAAATCCGAAGAAATCATAAAACATTACCGCTGGATATGCAACCACACACCTACGATGAATAAGAAAGCACAGCTTTCAAAGTATCCTATTCTTAGGAGTAAATGAACACGACTTATCTATTCAGCCAGCTCAACCTCATGCTGACATGCGACCATTCCTTGAACCCTAACTCACCGTTTAGCTGCTTCCTGAGCTGTTGGTGCTCGATCCGTCTCCTGGAGAGATCCGGGTCCTCGGGCATCTGTGGTGAAGTCTAATTACGGGGTAGTAGAAGAAATATGTGAGCGAACGTGAGTGCACAGATTAGGACGACCAGCTCCACTGCGTCTCTGGGACACGCGCACCGAAACGGGGCGAGAGCGCGGACGACGAGGGTGCGGCGATTCGGGCAGGCACGTCAACAGCGCCGTCGTCGCGGCTAGCCAGCAGCAGCAGAACGGCTGATTAGGTCAAGCTCGACTACCAGTGCCAACCAGAGTGGGTCTTGATCCATCTCGAAGTCGTCCGTGTCTTGTTGATCCCATTCCAGATCATTCCGCCGTATCGGTAGTGTACTTTGTTATAGCTTGGTAATCTACTATCCACTCATCTGGTTTTTATGTACTTCTCGGTGTGAACTGTTCCATTTTGCAGAAACTGGCGTGTTTGAAATATATCCCTGGATTGTAGTCGTTTTTGTATCCTAGGATTGACCATACTTTTGTGGGGTGCCATTTTGAGCGTTCTGATGAGATTTGTCAAGGTGATTTGATTTGCCCATCCCACTATCCATAAAAGGAAAGTTAAAGTTTGCTAGGGTCTGCTTTGTCAATGTGGCTATTTTCTTTGCATGTTTGGTTTTTTCCTGTGTATTATGGATTTTGAAGGGGGTGTTTGTTGATTAGACTTAGTTGATCGTTTTCTAAAATTAGCACCAATGAGGTGCATGGAAGCTTTCCTAGGTTGTCATCTGTGTCCTAGTATACTTCGCCTGCCATCAGGCTCGTTTGCGTGTTTTCGAATGAAGGATTAGAAGAAACCATCTTTCCTGATGTTTTACCTAAAGTTACAAACGATTCCCACGTAAACAGAAATTTTAAAATTAGATATTCTGTATTCTGAGGAGCGCATGGAGCACAGTGGTGGGAGGCGCCCTGCAATACACTTGGGATCGATCCCTGAGCCCCACGCTCATTAAGCTCTCCACCCCTCCAGAGTCGGCAAGCTGGTACCATACTTGTCTGGGAGGATAGCGGCTCGCTCTGGCTCGTTACATCTGTAGGCCATCGCGAGTCATTGTAAAGGTCAGACATATATCCAATCACTTCCAACGGTTCTTAATAAATTCGAATGCATGGCAGATCCCTTAGGGATTGGTCAACGCCTTATCTTTTTATTTTTTATTTAGCCGTTGTTCCTCACTTCTTTACAATATTTAATATGAACGAGCTCTTACCCATAAAGTAACTTTATCGAAACGTTCGCACTTCCCCATCAACAATAGAATTCAGGTCCCATGTGGGCCTCGAGCTCGCGATTACCAAGAGCTGACGTGATAAATGCCACACTAACCGAGGCACTCGCTTTTCTTTTCGCTGAGCCTTCTTTTCACTATCGATGCTATCACCCGTCAACAGGAATGGTCTGGAGAACACAAATCTTGGCGAGAATCCCGTTAACGGGTAATTGCTGATAGCACCGATAGAGAAAAAAATGGCTGAGAGAAATGCAAAGGGCCTGAGTTGGTATAGTGAGCGGCACGTGAGCGCACGGTAAGGGTGACCTCGGGTTCGAAGTCCAACTGGGGTCCCCAGTTTTGCGCACATCTCAACATCCTTGTGGTTGTGTTGCAAACAAATACCCTGCCTTGAAAAAAGAATAGGCAGTATATAAATGATAGACATCTCATTTCGACTGTAGCTTCATTCAGCTTAATTCTGTTCAATACCGATTTACGCTCCTCAAATCATTCTCGTTGACAGATGATTGCTGATGGCACCTTAGGGTCGAAAAAAATCCGGCTAAGAGAGCAACATAGCAAAGGCATCATTCAGTGTAGTGGACAACCCATGACCCCCTGAAAACGGTAATCGCGAGTCCGAAGCCCAGCTGAGGTTGCAAATTTTGCTCACGTCTTAGCATCATTATGGTTGTATTTCACATTACACTACTATGAACAATGAATAGACAGTAAATGGAAAGCTAAACGTATATTAGATAGTGGCATACATACAATGCATATCATTACAGCGATAAAGCAAAGCCGTCTGTAATCATTTCAAGTTATTAACCTCCAACTTCTCTCGTTATCGAGAAATTATCACTCATTGTCTAGAAGCCACCAGGACCACAATGATAGGAAACTATGCAGAGTCGTCAATATTTTAAACTGTTGTAATAAGCAAATCTATTCACAAAGGTAGTATGATCCTAATAATACTGAAACCAAAGGAGACTTAAAAGGCTAAAATTCGTTCTTCTGGTTGGATAGTATAGTCCTCAAATCGTATCTGCTTTCCGTATGCTATAAGCACTGGCTCAAAGGGCTTATGATATACAACGACCAGAATTCGCTGAATATTAGCCTCTACTTCAATCAGAGAAGCAGGCATGGTGATCGGTACATTTCTAATTCGATCCGCAATTCTTCCACGAATAGGGCGATACAGATAACTTTATTTGAAAATAACATATACGCCATTCTGTCTTTCACAGTCTCACTTCTAAAATTGAATGCTAGAACTGAGCTTCTTATGAGATCTTGGTCTGCAAGACTTTCAAAAAACGACAGACTTCCTTTTCGAATAGTACAATGGCAACAAGGGTAGCAGTTTAATCTTTGCCCTCGACCGCTCAATAATTACCTCATGTTTATCGCTAAGATTGTGTAGATCCAAGAATAGATAGCTAGCGTCGATCAGCAGTGGTTTAACACTTCGTTGTGGAAGCGAGTGTCAGATTTCCATCTAAAACTGCGATCCACTCTGTAACAGGATTAGCCAGCTCGAGGAGGGATTTTACGTTTACATCAGGAAAGAAATCTAACAATAAACTCGTCTCACGACTAAGCCTCATGGGCTAGTCGTGGGTACCTTCTCACCATGAGAACGATCATCGCAGTGAATATAATTTTCTCGTTCTTCAAGCCACCGGAGCCTACGGGGTGGCCTCCGCGCCCCACAATGTACCGTAGGAACTCTGTTAATTTTCATCCGAACTACTTTACGGACAAAAGGATAACAGGTGACAGAGGTGAATATTAGACATAACCTCGTTAATTCGGCTCTAGAGAGCAAGATCCTGTTCTTGCTCTGTCTGTCCAAACATTATCCAAGTATAACTTCAACGATGCTGAGATCTTTGCAAAACTCAGAACCGCAGGTGTTTGCGGTGAGGAACGAACGCGCTATTGCCTTTTCCGTGGAGTAACGCGTTCACCACCACACCATGCGGGTCCTTCGTTTCGCAAGTCTCTCAGGTAGCTCTATTGATCGGCGCCATCAGCAATAACCCATCAACGGGACTGATCTAGGGAGCCCAGATCGGCAACGAACCTAGTTAAACTGCGGCTGTAGTTATAGCCACAAGATCGATAGAAATAGCTGAGAGACAGACGAAACGAAGGACCCGCATTATGTGGTGGTGAACGCCTTACTCCCCGGAAAGGACAATAGCGCGTTCGTTCCCTACCGCAAACACCTGCGGTCCGGAGTTTTCCAAATATCTCAGCATCATTGAAGTTATATTTCGCAATATACCCTGCCATTAAAAAGAGTAGGGAGTAAATAATAAGTTAGGATTGTCACTATCCAAATACTTTGTGCGTGAAGCACAGTGGGTGGATGGACTCTGCAATATGCCCAGTACTTGGTTCGATCTCGCGTCTCGTGCTCACAAAACTCTCCAACACTCTAAGGTCGGTAAATTGCTACTAGACTCATCTGCGAGAATAGCAGCAGTGACTTCATACATCGTTAGACCACCGTAAGTTATTATATACGCCAAATATGCACTCAGTCGCCTCCACGATGCTCGATGAAGTAGAGTGCATAACGCATCATTCGTGGATTGATCAACGCCAAACGCTTTTTTATATTGTAATCCGTACTACACTAGCAAAGTTGAACACTCAGTTTATCAATACTGTGATGGTGAAGCGCTCCCCTACTCGGGCTACTGCACACAATGGGATTGTGGGGAATCCGTGCACTTTGTTGTACGTCACGTGCTCTACGTTAATCTATGGTCGATTCCAATTATTGTAAGTAACGGTGTCCTATTCGGATTTAATAAATGTATGTCAGAAAGAAGGCTATGAAAAGCTCTTTACATATCATTATTTTTCTCATCTGAATGTTAATATCACATTTCGAAAACGCATTCACTCTTCTCATTTAATCGTCAGCATATAAAAGTTTTGTTGGGAGCTGACACAAAAGAAACCCGAGAGAAGAAGCATAAGAGCGAAATATGGTAGAAGATGATTCTGTAGTGTAAAACACAGCTCTAGAAGGCCACGTTCTTCCTTACAATGATGTGAATGCTGGTTCCTTCGTCGCTTTCAATGAATCCAAATTTGGCTCTACAGTACAAAGAATATTGGATGAATGGTCTCTAAAACTATGTAACGAAAGCAGCAACGACAATATCTGAATGCATTTAAGTTGAGGTCACGATCAGAAGGAGAACTAAGACGCCTCACAAACAGCAATTCATCCAGAAATCTATGTGGTCTAACGATCCAGAAAACATCTAATTACCAAATTCAAATAATTAAATTAGAACATCTAAATATCAGATTCGATTAGTTGACTTAAAAGTGAGAGACTGTAGAATAGCGGATACATTATTGTTTTCTAGCAAAGTTATCTGTATCACCCCAGTTTCATGACAAAATTGTGGACTGAATTGGAAATGTCAATCAGCATTTCGGCTTTTCTGATAGAACTAAAGATTAACAGTCAGCGATTTCTGGTTCGTGTATGTTTTTACCAGGACTTTTGAAGTTGTGCTTGCGGCATAAAAGAGGATAAAGGATAAAGCTCTCGGCGTTGATTAATCCCTGAGGAATGCGCCATGCATTCGACTTCATTGAGATTCGTTTGGAGGTGATTGAATGTATATCTGTCGTTTACAATGACTCGCGGTGGCCTACTGATATGTCGAGCCAGTGCCGCTATCCTCCCAGACAAGTCTGTATCAATTTTCCGACTCTTGAAGGATGGAAGGCTTGGTGAGCAATGAATGCGGGGATCGATTCCA